TCCTGGTCAAATTGCAGGTCAACGGACTGCTCTGTTGACCTCCCAGTCGAACAGCACCTCCTGGTCGACAGCCCATTCGTCGCCCAGACAAGTCAGTTGCAGCTGTCGAGCTCCCTGGTCGACAGCAACACCACATCGGTCCCCTGCACCTCGACGAAGCTTGTCGAACAGCTCTCCCACAATGAGCGGTCGGCTGCTACTCCCGTACATCTGACCATGTCGTCAGCGTTCCCCAAGCGAGGGCAGGGCCAACACTCCATTCCCATTAAAACTCCCCTACCGCGCTCACGCTTAGGCCTCCAGCCCATACGGCAGTACTCCACGGAGAAAACTCGTTCTCCGCGTGCACCCCACACACAGCACGCCGTCACCGCACCAGCTGTGCAGAAGGGCACGTCACCTACTGTTGCGCATCATCGTCGCCGTCGCCGACGTCGGCCAGACAAACTTGGCCTATGGCGACAGAGCACCGGTTGAAAGCCGAAAATGCAGCGCCTTCGTCACGAAGTCAGCTGGCTGCTCGATGGTCGGGATGTACTCCAGCACGAACTTCCCGCGCCTCACAATGTGCTGCAGCCAGGCATAGCGTCGCTCCATGTGCTTGAGGTTGCCAATCAGCCCCAAGCCCCCAGCAACCGTGATTGCCGACTTGTTGTCCATACGGAGGACAGTCGGCTTCCTAGCATCGAGCTGCTTGAACTCTGCAAGGAAGAAGCGAATTTGTCGCCCCTCCTTGCTGGCGTCTGTGTCCGCGACGTACTCCGATTCGGTCGAGGAGAGCGTCGCGCACTTGATGCGCTGGCTCGACCAGGAGACCGCGGCCCCTCCGAAGTCAAACATCTAGCCTCCCGTGCTCGTCTGGTTCTGCTTGTCGCTCGCATCGTCGGCGTCCACGTGGCCGATCAGCTCCGGCGATTATGGTCCACCGCCGAACTCCAGGGCGGTGTCGCGGGTATTAGCGAGATAGGCGAGGCAGCGGTCGACCTCGCGCCAATGCTGGTCGCTCCTCACTGTGAGGCCGCTCCCGAGCTTGCTGCATGCGAACGCAATGTCCAGCCTCATCATCGTTGCCGCGAACTACAGCGAGCCAACCTTCTGCCGGTACTCCTCCTCCTCGCGCTCCTGCACCTCCTCTTCATCAAACATCAACTCAGCGTAGGCATCTACCGAGGCCGGCGTCTTCGGGACTCGCCTGTCCTGCTCCTCGTCGATGAAGCGCCTGCGCAGCTTGTCGGCGTAGCCCTGCTGGTGCGGCTACAGCTTCCTGGCCAACCTGTCGCACACGATCTCTAGCCCAAGGTACTCCACGACCGGCGAGATCTCACGCATGTCGATGGCGGCCTCCGGTAGCTCCTTCAGCATCGCAGTGCTGCTGCTGGCGGCGAGCATGTCGTCGACGTAGACCAACACCGAACATGTCACTCTGTCTTTGCCGACTTTCAAGTAGAGCGCCTCGTCGACCTGGCTCTTCTTCCAGCCAGCGCTCAGCAGCACACTGTCGAGAGCCCTGTACCACAGCAGCGGCGACTGCTTCAGCCCGTACAGGCTCTTCAGCAACTTACACACCCGGGTGGTCGCATCATTGAAGTAGTCCAGCTGGTACATGTAGAGCACCCTGTCGAGCTTGCTCTACAGGAAGGCTTTCTTCATGTGGAGCTGCATCAGGTTGAGGTCGAAGACGGCGACGATGCTGAGGAAGATCCTCAGTATGACGTAGCTGCTTATCGGCGAGTACGTCTCACTAGCCTCGCCTTCTCGCACTCAATCGTGTTGTCGATGCTGTACTTGGTCGTCGACACCCACTAGTTCTTCATGATGTTCACCCCGCGTGGGCATTCGATCGGCTCCCAAATGCCCATGCCGATGAGGCTGCGAATCTCTTCTTCCATGGCGGCCTTTGCCGCATCACCCTTCCAATTCGCCAACGCCTCCTTCATCGTCACCGTGGCGATGTCCCAGCGGTGTTCGGGGTCGGCATGAACGTCGGGGTCGAGCTTCGGCAGTTCTTCATCCTCCTTGGCCTCGTCGTACAGCAGGTCGTCATCGACCTCGTCGTACACCGTGGTGAAGGCAGGTGGCGGTAGGCAGGCGTGGAAGCTCAGCCGCTTAGGCGGTCGTTGAGCTCGACCTGTGCGTCGCAACTCAGGCTTCGTGATTGGCACCTCCACCACGTCGCTGTCGGTGGACTCCTCACCCGCCGACTGCCCCCCTTTCTCGTCGACGTCCTCGTCGTCGATGTCAACGGGAGTTGTTGTTGGCCCTGTCCTTGCTTGGGTAGAGCCGACCTCGTGTTTGGGTGTGCGGGAGGTGCAGCCGACCTGCAGCAGTGAGCGAGCTGGTCGATGGGACTGGTCGACCTGAACGGGGGCCACTGCAAGGGCACCGACTTTGGGAGGGCGCCGACTTCGGGTGGTTGACCTGGCAAGGTCGACATCGGAGGCTTCGACTTGGCGACGCCGAGCTGGGGATGCCGACGTAAGTAGTTGGCCGGCGGGTGTGCTGGTCGACCTGGAGCTGGTCGACCAGGTGCACGGTCGACCTGTTGTGGTCGACCAAGGGTGGTCGTCGACCTGGGTGGTTGACGGGTACAAGGAGGAGCTGGTCGACGAGGAGGTTGCCCTGTCGACCAGGTTACCCGGGCGATGGGGTTCTGCGGAGGCACGCGATGGTCGCCCAGGTGGTTTCTGCGAGGGCGACCTCGGTGGTGGTATCCCGAGGTCGACGTGGCTGGTGGGCGCAATCGCTGGCGTGGAGTCTGCTAGGCGTCTCGGTTGTGCTCGTGATGAGGAATGGCGCACCAACCAGCTGCACGCACATGCGAAGCAGATGCTTCGTTGTCCTACGGGTGCAACGCTGTGCAGCCGGCTTGCTGCAGCGTTGGCACACCGTGGACTTGCAACCTTGGCAAGCTGCGACTTTGCTCTGCTGGAGTGCGGCCGACCAAGTCGTGTTGGCACGTGGTCGACCGTGCTGCGCTGGAAGTCGACCATGATGTAGTCTTGTATGCCAATGTTGTTGCTATAATTCTGAATCATTGTTGTGAACTTTCCGTAGTGAAACTCTTGCCAATTCCCCCCGTGAACTTGCAAGTAGTGTGAACACAAGGAAACGACTAAGGAACAAACGAACACAAGAATCCCCCCTACCCGGTGCCTAGCTCGTAGTCTAGCTCCCGTTGATATAGTTATCTACGCAGTCGACCAGCTGCTTCGATACTTCGAGCGGCTGCTCACCACCTGCTGACTTCGATCGCTCCCCTTTTGACTGCCCCGACTGGTGCTCCCCTGTCGACTGCACCCCTGCTGCTGTCTCTTGTTCGACCGGCTCCCCCGTCTGCTGCTCCCTTGTCGTCGATGGCTTCCCATACTGGTCGACGAGCTTGGCGCCTTGTCAACCGCCGGTAATGCCACTGGCCGGTGCCGGAAGCGATGCCTCAAGGCCCCCTTCATCGCCGGTGGCTGACACAGGTGTCGACGCAGGCCGATCTACGACGAGGGAGGGAGGGGCAAGAACAGGTGGAGGAGGAAGAACCTCCACGACATCCTCATCAGCAGGCCCGTCGACCTCGGCGAGCAGTGGGACCGTCGCCGACGAGGTGTCAGTCGGCGAGTGTGCCGGCGTCCACACCTCCACCGACATCGTCTCGTAGAAGATCACCTCGACCGACGTGACCATCTTGTTGTCAGACAGGTCGAGCACCTCCTAGCCCTTATTCTCCGGCGACACACCCAGGTGAAGCCCCTAGCGAGCCTTCAGTGCAAGCTTCCCACCGCGCTGCTGCTCGGGAACGGTGAACTGCACCATGCAGCCCCACACCCGCGGCAGCGTGAGGTTGGGCTCCTTCCCCAACAGCTGGTACGGAGTCGTCCCCGGCGGTGTCGTCGACCGCTCCAAGCAGTTGCGCACCCAGACAGCATGTCGAAGAGTGAGGTGCCACACACCCATGTGCAGTAGCATTGTCCGCACGGACTCGACAATCGTGCGCATCTCCTGCTCAGCCATGCCGTTTTGCTGCGGAGTGTAAGGGCACGTCAAGTCATGGACGATGCTTTTCCCATTGACGAAGTTGGTGAACGCCTTCCCGAGGAACCCCCCTCCTCAGTCTGAGCGGAGCATCAATAATGGATGCAATCCGTATCCTCTACTGGTCGTATCTCGCTCCTTCCCCATCATGTCGGGCGTTACATGCTCATCCGCTTCATTCCCATTTGTCGTGCCCCTCGCTACCCCGCCGTGCTCCGCCATTCCCCGCCATACCCCACCATACCTTGCCAGATACCGCGCCATCGCCTGCCAGCGTCTCTGCAAAGCAACATGCTCAAATTCGCTCTTCTCCGCTTCGTGAATGCGCGTCATCTCTCGCCGCAATTCGCTTGAGCCGTCCTCCATATCTCCCCATCTCTCCTTGCTCCCCCACTCACCTCCTCTCAATCTCACCTCCTACCCTTGTCCCTCCCTGCCTTCGTGCGTGTTTCCTGCCACCCTGTGCACACTGCTGCCTCCGCGTTTCTGCTGTCGCTGCCCGACCGTGCCTACCATGCCTACCATGCCTACCATGCCTACCATGCCTACCGTGCCTACCGTGCCTATCGTGCCTACCATGCCTACCATGCCTACCATGCCTACCATGCCTACCGTGCCTACCGTGCCTACCGTGCCTACCATGCCTACCATGCCTACCATGCCTACCATGCCTACCATGCCTACCATGCCTACCATGCCTGCTGTGCCTGCCATACCTGCCGTGCCTGGAGTGCCTGGCGTGCCTGCCATGCCTGCCGTACCTGTCGTGCCTGCTGTGCCTGCTGTGCATGCCGTGCCTGCCATGCCTGCCGTGCCTGCCGTGCCTGCCGTGCCTGTCGTGCCTGCCGTACCTGCCGTGCCTGCTGTGCCTGCCGTGCTTGTCGTGCTTGCCGTGCCTGCCGTGCCTGCTGTGCCTGCCGTGCCTGCCGTGCCTGTCATGCCTGCCGTGCCTGCCGTGCCTGCCATGCCTGCCATGCCTACCATGCTTGTTGCTGAGCAACGGCATCAGGCCCTGCACTTACCACTCGCCCACTTTCTCCCCCCTCTCTCCCCTCTCTGCCCTCTCTCCCTCTCTCCCCTCTCTTTCCCCTCTCCATGGCCTTCCAATCTTTCCCCCTCCTCCACCTATCCCTTTTCCCGCCCCTCTCAGCCACCCAGTGCCACAGAATTCTCGCAGCGGGGCCTGCCATGGTGGAATGGACGTTGGGGCAGCAACTAGGGAGGAGCGCAGGGGCGGAGAGGAAGAGGAAGCGGGGGAGGGAGACGGAGCGCGGGAGGGGGAGCACGTGGGAGGAGCAGGGATAGGAGCGACAAGCCATTGTGTCTGAAAGTGACGTCGCACGATTCAATTCGCTGGTTCTGCGTCTTGCTGATGTTTTCAGCAGCAGCAGCAGCGCCACCCGCCTCTGCATTCTCAAGCTCTTCCTCCTCCACCTCACCACTGCTGCCTCTCCCCTCCCCCCCTCTCCTCCCGCTCCTCCCCGTCCTGCTCCTCCCTCTCCTGCATCTCAACATGCCACGACAGCTGCACCCGCTACCCCCTCACTCACACCTGCCGCCCTGAGAACGCCTCTCGGTGCTGGGAGGTGTGACGCGGATGGTGACGCCATGCCTGACGACAGCAACATATGTGACGTTAGCCTGCTGCAGTGGCGATGGAGGAGGGAGGGAGAGCAAGTGAGGGATGTGTGGAGGGGAGGGAGAAGAAGGGGAAATAGAGTGACCACCATGAGGGAAGGAGAGAGAGAAAGTGGGGGGTGTGATGGGAGAACGAGGAGGCAAGGAGAGGAAGGTGGGGATGGCGCCTATGGGGAGGCAGAGAAGAGTGTTTTCAATGATAGGCGTGCTGCAGACATTGATGGTGATGATGGTGGAGGGAATAGCGCTAGCAGCAATGATGGCAGTGAGAGTGCTGGCAAGTGATGGTGATAGCGATAGTGGCGATCGTGCTGGCAGTGATGGTGGTGCTGGCGGTGGCAGTGACTGGGCAGGCGTGTTGACTACTTGGAAGCTCTTGAACCCAACCCAAGTCATCACCCGCATCGCCCCTCTACTCTCTCGCTCCTCCTTTCCACTCCCACCCACTGCAGCAGCAGCCACAGTCACAGCCACAGCAGGCGCAGTAGCAGCAATGCAAAGTGACTCCCCTTCGCCCCCATCGTCACTTGCTGCTGGTGCTCTTAACTCCATTGACTCGCTTGAAGCCCACTGTCTCGCGCTGCGCCTGATTGGCTGCCTCGCTTTGCTGGCTGCTGACGTGGCACACGTGCAGGAGTTGGTCGTGCAGGCGGCAATGGAAGCCGAGGGACAGCAGGAGGTGAGAGAGGGGAGCGGGGGGAAGGGGAGAAAGAGGGGGATAAGGGGGAATAGGAGGTGAGGTGGGTGGTGCGTTTAGGTTTGCATGTGTGTGTGCGTGTGTGCGTGCATGCGTGTGTGCGTGTGTTGTGTATCTGGTGGAGAAAAAGGGGTAAGGAGGGGGGTGGTTGGGTGGGTGGAGGGGGGAAAAGAAAGGTGGTGGTTGGGTGGATGTGTGGGTGAATGGGTGTGCGTGCGTGAGTTCGTGCGTGGTTGTGTGTGCGTGCGTGTGTGAATGGGTCTTCCCATCCCAAACCCCACGCACCTCTCTTTGCTTCCACACTCTTTCGTGTTGTCTACGCTTTTTCCTCAATCCCCTTTCTTCAACCTCCCCAACCCTTCCCTCCCACCAACCCCTTCCCCATCCTCAACCCCCACCCACCAATCTAGCAACGCCATGCAGCTCTCTTCGCGCTCACCTTCCTCTGTGACGTCTCTCCTCCCTTCGCCCTTCACACTCTCCTCCTCCTCTCCCTCGCTCTCCCTACCTCCCCACCGCCACCCCTGCCCCTCTCCCTCAAATGCCATCTGCACCGTCCTTCACACCCATGTCTCTCGTGCCAAACCAAGCAGCCTAGAGTGAGAGGAAACGCACACAGGAGTCAAGCAGAGGCGGACGAGCATGTGGCGGGGAAGCGGCCGCAGCAACAGCGTGATGACTCGCCAGTTGCCCATGCACCGTTGCACCCATACTCGTTCGCCCACTCCCTGTCTCCACCATACACACTGCCACCACTGGCCCTACACGCGCCTCTTCTCACATCCTCCTCCCACATGCCACGTGTCACCCACCCATTGGCCTGGTGGAGGGGGCGTGAGGAGGGGAAGGAGGGGGTGCGGATTCGAGTGGCAGCAGTGGTGGTGAAATGCCTGGCGGGGCATGAGGAGAGGGCTGTGAGGCGCGTGGCGTGACAGGTGAGGAGAGGGATGGGAGGGGGAGCAGGGGGGTGGATGGGAGGGGGAGCAGGGGTAGCACTTAGGTGAAAAGGGAAGTAGTGGTGGTGAAGCGCTTGGTGGGTTATGTGAGCGCTATGAGGTGTGTGGCATGGCAGGTCAGAAAGGGATGGGAGGGAGAAGTGGGAGCAGTTGGGTGAGAAGGTGACTTGGTGGGGCATGGTCACAGTAGTAGGAGAAGAGGGGTGAGGTAGGCACATGAGGCAGATGAGGCAGGTGAGGGGAGTAGGGGGATGCACAGCAGCAGCGGTGGTAAGAAGGGCATCAACGGTGTCTGATTGAGTGCTTGATGGGACCATGTGAAGCGTGCAATGTCTCTGATTGGACTACATGAAGTGTGCAACGTATCTGATTGGACCACAGATAATGTGAACTGTGCTTGATGGGACCAGACTGCTCATAACCCCAAGCGTGCATTGTGTGGTGGAGGATGGTAAGGAACCTTGAATGACATGTGTGGTGAGCTGGTTTATGAGAATCTCCAAATCTACTTTGAATGGCATGCGTGGTGATGGATGCGTAATGTGCTCGCATTCTTCTTTCCTCGCCCCGTGTCACCTCCCCTGCTCCTCTTTTCTCCCAGGTGGCAGTCTGCTTGCTCCTTGCCTTCCCCTGTGCCCCGTGGTCCCCACAACTGCGATTGTAGGTGTGCGCGATGCAAGCACAGCTTGGCTGATCACTCACTCGTTGCTGTGCCATCATGTTTAAGCATACTCTACTCATGCTCCCACGTGCGATCACTCTCATGCTCCCACGTGCAATCACTCTCATGCTCCCACATGCATTCACTTTCATACTCCACGTGCATTCATTCTCATACTCCCGCGTGCATTCACTTTCATGCTCCCACGTGCAATCACACACATACTCTCACGTGCCATCGCATGCATTCATAAGGTCATGTGCATTCACACTATCGTGTGCATTCACACTCATGCTCTCGCCTGTGTCCACACTCAGTCACACTATTAGTGCATTTGCACTCAAACTCTCACGTGCTTTGCTTTCTTACTCACACTCACATGCAATCTCCTGTAATCTCACATGCACTCAGAACCACGCCCTCACCCTCTCATTGACATAATCTCATGTGGTCTCACAGCGGTTGTATGCATGTCAGCATGTACGGTATGCTCACATGCGTACAAGCATGGAGCTACCTCGTCCAACAGCATGCCAAGCATGGTTATGTGTCCATGTCATGTCTTTCCTTGTCATACGAAGGGGAAAATAAGATTGCATGTACGAATTTTAGTGGTACTGTATCATCAGTTTTGCTGTAAATGGTTCTATGATGCCTAAAAGCAACATCTTCTCGATCAGAATGAAATCTCAAGAGCTCCCTTCCATTTTCATGCCTTCAAATACCTTTTTTTAATGTGACTACCACAAAGTATCAGACGAGTGCAACAAGGATACGTACAAGGATACGTGAAATGAACTGGTGTGTTTGTGCAGATTCGCAGATTCGCCATGATTCGACTGGAGAGCTATGGATAAACTTCTAAAATCCGGCGGCACAGACTTGGTTCGTTGGGTGCAATCTCCAAGCTCAGTCAAGAAGACAAACATATCAACAGTGTTTTTTTCTATACGCTATTAGAAGTTACTTTTTGGCTTCACTAACTGCGGGATTCTAATGGAAAATGCAGTACCTAAACTACAGTACAACATGGTTTAGTTGTGCAACGATAAGCTACAACAGCTCCAGCCACCATCTTCAGATACCGGTTATCGCCTCTCACTATCGTACGGTAGGTCTCGTTGTGGCATTCCCGCGTTAACGCGGCAGCTGCGCGCTCACACAACCTGGATAATCGTGTCCTTCGCAATCGGGTCCTCGCAACAACGACCATTGTTGAGGGCCGCCAATCGGAACTGCGTACCCGCGTAGTATCGCTTCAGCAAGCAGCTCATGCATGTGACCTAAACCTCAACATGCACTTTAAAGGGACAGAAACTACCGTACTGGTAATCACCCGGACATAACACCCGCCAAAATTGTACACCCTCCAGGTGGCTTGTGCGGGGTGGGTGTTATAGGCGACCTCAGTTGTATTATACCCCCTTTTTTGGCTGATATTCTATAACACCCCCCTTTCTTACAAAAACTCTTTTTCCTGCTGTTAACGAGTAGGTGCAATTAAGGGAAAACATCGCGGAAATCACTTCCTCGATAAGATTACATGGTAATTTCAAAAGAATCTGCCGGAATCACCTCCCTCCCACTTTTTTCGCTGTTGCCGGGCTGATAGATCGTTCACTAACAAGTGGCCAAAGAGGTGCCACATGGCAATTTTAAGGGGGTGAGTAATTGGCGCCGAAACTTGCATTTTCGCCTCTGCCGAAACCAACTTTGACAACACCCACGTTGTCCATTTATCAAAATCCTTATACTAAAAAATGTCATATGAATAGACCCGGGTGGTGTGTAGCCTTTTCCGATGAGAAGAAGCCCCCATTTTTTTCCTGTATTTATCATAATACCCTAGAGTGTTATGTCCAGGAGAAAACGGTAATCGCCATAATGGATTGGTCCAATTAGAACCTTACCAAGGTGGCGGAGTGGGGAGGCACGAGTGGACTATATGTTTCACAGAGCACTCACAAACACGAGCTCAGAGATGGGTGCGGCGGAGCGAGGGCGTGGGGCGAGGGGCAGCAGCGGGGCGGCGAGGACGAGCTACTCACCGTCATGCAATCGTCTGGCTCCGCGCATGTGGGATGGCTCCGTGCAGATGGGATGGCTCCGTGCAGGTGGGATGGCTCCGTGCAGGTGGGATGGCTCCGTGCAGGTGGGATGGCTCTGTGCAGGTGGGATGGCTCCGCGCAGGTGGGATGGCTCCGTGCAGGTGGGATGGCTCCGCGCAGGTGGGATGGCTCCACGCAGGTGGGATGGCTCCGCGCAGGTGGATGGCTCCGCGCAGGTGGGATGGCTCCGCGCAGGTGGGATGGCTCCATGCAAATGAGATGGGTCCAAGCAGGTGAGATGGGTCCGTGCAGGTGAGATGCGGTGGGATGGGATGGGATGGGACCTGTGCAAGTGGGCTAGCTGGGCTGGGTGCGTGTGAGTGAGTGGACTGGGGGGGTCGTGAGGCTCGTCGAGGCATTGCTACATGCGCCTACCAGGTTTGAAAGCCGAAGGTATAGCAATCCAATGAAATGGCGCTTTCTCGCCTTCTTGTTCTCTCCAACCCATTTCCCCCCTTGCTATTAACATCCTCTCCCACCCCTCTCTCCCACCGCTCCCTCTCTCACTTTGGTGGTGGATGTCGACCTTCTCACCGCTGCTGCTGCTGCTGCTGCTTGCATCAACACCAGATGCTGCCCCCGCTGCGGCCCCCCCACCCACTGCCCCGCTGCTCCACCGCCCATGTCAATCAAGCCTCTCTACCCGCCCTTACTGCCTCGCTAACGTGCTTTTCGTCCTGGCAAGTCTACTGTCAAACCAACGCTTCTGTGCTTCTTACCTGAACCGTGCCTGCATTCCATTCGCCTATCACCATTGCTTCGCCCTTAACAGTGCCCCACTCATCAGCTTCCCCGCACATGCCCCTCCCATCACATCATATGCCCCTCGAATGCCCACCCCTCACATGCCCCCTCCTCCCCTCACATGCTCCTCACATGCCCCTCCCTCCCCTCACATGCCCCTCCGCTCACATGCCCCTCACATGCCCCTCACCTCATGTGCCGCTCGACTCGGCCCCATCATCTTCCATCATCCATGTCATCTCCCCAACCCCCTCGTCCCTCTCACCCCACCCCAGCATCTCCACTCCACCAACCCCTCTCAACCCCTCTCTCCCACTCCCCCTCCCTCCCCCTGTCACATCCCCCCTTTCCCCCCACAGGCCCGCTGCAGCCCCTACCGCCTGCCCATCAGCCACAGCCCCTGCAGCTTCACCCTCAACCGCAGCCACAGCAGCAGCAGCAGCAGCAACAACAACACCAGCAGTAGCGGCAGCAGCGTGGCCGGCGCGGGTGGGCTTGCTGTCGCGTGTGCAGTGTGTTTATGAGGCGGCAGGTGCTCCCCCATCCCGACGCCCACGCCCTGCGCAAGGAAGGTGAGCTTGAGATAGATGGGTCCAAGGAAGGTGCAAGGAAGGTGAGTCCAAGAAAAGTACGACGAGGAAGGCGAGTCAGAGAAAATTACGAGGAAGGTGCATGTGTGGAACGTGACATGGCATCCGAGCTGTTGACTCAATGTGCGAGCCACTTGTTCCTCTCCCTCTTCCTTCCGTTTCTTGCCCTCTGAGTTCTTCCCTCATGCTTCTGTTCATTGTGCTAGCCGTTCCCTTTGTTGCCTGTGTGGGAGAGTATGTCTCTCTCTCATGTGTGCCGCGCTCAATCATTCGGCCCCCAATGCTTGCTTCTGTCGTCCGTCCCCTGCTATCGTCAACGCTGACCTGTGAGGAGTTGGCATATCCGACCAACTCTAAGTGCGATGATACTGACATCCCCCGCAAATGCCTCTACAATGAGGGGTTCAAGATGAGCGACAAGTACTACATTCGTAAGCCGATTGCTCCTCTCCCTCTCCCTTCTCTCCGTCGTCCTTCTCAACCTCATGGTTCTTTCCCCATGCACCAGTTCATTACACTAACTATTTTACTTGTTGCCTGTGTGGGAGAGTATGCCTCTCATGTGTGCCGCTCTCAATCATTCGGCCACCAAACCCTGATTCTTGCACCAGGCTTGTTCCTCCCATGCTAAGTGCAGCGCTAACCTGTGAGGACTTGGCGTGTCCGCCCCACTCTTCCTACAATGATAAGGACAACCCTCCCCAACGCAGCTGCAATGAAGGGTTCAAGATGGAGAAGAAGCAGTGCATTCGTAAGCAACTCCCCCCCTCTGCTCCTCCTCGTCCCTCTCCCCCCCTCAGTCAGCCGCGTGTTTGGCAGGGGAGACATCAAGATAGTGAAGCGGCGCGACCTGGCGGAGGTGAGGGGGCGGGTGGGCGAGGAGAAGCATTTGTGAGCTCAAGCACAGCGATGTCAACGGGAGTTGTTGTTAGGCCCTGTCCTCGCTTGGGCGGAGCTGTTCTTGTGGTCGGGTGTATGGAGAACTGCAGCCGACCTGCAGCAGTGGGCGGACTGGTCGGTGAGGAGGCCGACTTGCGCGGGGGCCACTGCGATGGGCGTCGACTTCTGGGCGCCTAATTTGGGGTGGTCGACTAGGAGGTCGACCGAACCTGGTGGTCGATGAAGGAGGGGCCGACGTCGACCTCGATAGGGAAGGCTGGGGACTTCGAGCTGGAGGGCGTCGAGTAGCAGGATGCCAAGCAGCTGTGCGTCGA